AAGAGGAAAAAAACAGGCACGCATTCAAAGAACAGCTGACCCAAAAACTAAGCAACATGGCAAAAGTAGAGACAAAACAAATAAATCAAACGGTAAGGATCCTAGACATAAATGATACCATTCAAATGGAAGAAGCCCAAGAGCTCATTAAAAAAGAGATCGAAAATATTGGAGGGCAACATGATGGCATGCAAATCAGGATGGCAGGCAAATCAAATATAAGAGGGTTAAAGTATGCTTTCTTATCTGTTGGCACAGACACTGCACAAAAACTACTATCTAGAAGAAAAATAGGAGAAGGATGGAATAGATGGACAGTAAAAGAAGTAGAAAATGTACAAAAGTGTTATAACTGCTACAGGGTTGGACACATAGCAAGTAACTGCAATAAAAAGGAACCCAAGGACCTATGTCATAATTGTGGACAACAGGGACATCTCAGAAAAAACTGTAAAAACATGGTAAAATGCTACCTATGCAACACCGAAGGACACAAAGCAGAGACAATGAGATGCCCAGAGTATCGAATGCTTATCCAACAGCAAAGGCAGGAGAAAAGGGTAAGGTTGTCGAGCGTATTTTAATGAAAATAACTGTACTACAAGGCAATGTCGACAGAGGCAACCAAGCGATGGACATGGTATACAAATTCTCAGAAGAATATAAGGCGGACTTGGTTATTATGGCGGAACCCAATAAGAAAAAATTAGCCCAATCCCAGTGGCAAGTAGACTTAGATCAAGATGTTGCAATACACATTCCCAATAAAAATATCAGCGTGCATCAGAGAGGCTGTGGTCATGGCTTCGTATGGATAGAATTGCAAGCTCTGGTCATATATGGATGCTATATATCACCTAACGTAGATTTAGAACACTTTACTAACTACATTAATATTTTGAAAGCAGACTTAAAACGGCATACTAAAGAAATAGTAATAGGTGGAGACTTTAATGCAAAATCTTACAGCTGGGGATCTAAAAAAGAAGACAAAAGAGGGGAAATATTGGTAGAGTGGCTTGCACAAGACGACGTAATAGTGCATAACCAGGGAAGTGTTCCCACTTTCGTTAGAGGCTACAGCGAGTCCTATATTGACTTAACATTAAGCACTAGAAAAATAGCGAAACACTTAACGAAATGGAGGGTTTTAGAAGAAGAAAATCTAAGCTTTCATCACCATATATGCTACGATATTGATGATAACATAAGAGACAAAGACAGCGTCAAAAATAAGAATCGAAGATGGACGGTCAAAAAAGAAAGCATGGATAACCTAATCGAAGAGGTAGGAAGAATAATTAAAGCTCAAAATGAAGTTATAGGTGTTAAAGAGCTAACAGAAATAGTAACGAAAGCGTGTAATTAAAGTATTTCCCTCCAAAAAGTCTAAATTCAACAAAAAACCGGTATATTGGTGGTCGAATAGGGTTGCCGATACAAGAACAGAATGCCTGAGATATAAAAGGGCCATGACCAGAGCAAATCGAAAGAAAGACGAAAACCAAAAGAGAATCGCTCAAGAACTATACCGAAATGCTAGAACAACCCTAAAAAATGTTATTATCGAAGAAAAGAAGAACGCATGGAAAAAGGTTATAGAAGATATCAACAACGATACCTGGGGCAAAGGCTACCAGATAGTGATGAAGCACCTAAAGACGGCACCAGATACAATACTGACAGACGAAAAGCAACTAGAAATCGCAAAAACACTCTTTCCAGAACACCCGGTAAAAAAATGGCGAAAAATACCAGTCAAGAGAAACGAAGTTCCAAGCTTTTCAAAATGGGAACTAATTGAGGCAAGCAATAGAATAAAAGAAAAAAAGGCTCCAGGACCGGACTCAATACCACCAGAAGTAATCAAGGCGGCTACCAAAAACTACCCCGACACGTACCTAAACGTCCTAAATGAACTGCTAAAAAAAGGAGAATTCCCGCGCGAGTGGAAAACAGCAAAACTCGTTCTAATAGAAAAGAACAAATCCGGACAAGGTGAGAAAACTTATCGACCAATATGCCTGCTCAACGTTATAGGAAAATTATTCGAACAACTAATCCTAGACAGGTTAAAAAGAGAAATAGATAGAAAAGGATCTCTGGCTATTCACCAGTATGGTTTTAGAGAAGGGAAGTCAACAATCGACGCACTAGAGGTGGTTCGAGAAACAGCAGAAGAAGCCAGTCAAAAAACAGCAAGAGAAAGATGTATGATTATCTCTTTGGACATACAGAACGCATTTAACTCGGCACCGTGGGAAGGCATATTAAATGAAATACAAAGAAGAGAAATGGCTCCATATTTGTATAACATTGTGGCGAGCTATTTTGAAAACCGAACCCTACTAGTGGGGGAAAATGGAAAAATAGAGCTGTCAAGTGGAGTTCCCCAAGGTTCCGTTCTGGGCCCGACCCTGTGGAACCTTTACTATGATGGAGTGTTGAGACTACCGGTTCCTCGAGGAGTTAAGCTTATTGCATACGCCGATGATCTCGGGATACTAGTAACAGACAAAAATGCCACTCAGATGGAAGCAAAGGCCAACGAAGTACTGACGAATGTGACTGAATGGATGGATAACAAAAAATTAAAGCTCGCACCACATAAAACGGAGGCAGTGCTACTTGCGGGGGGACGAAAAACAAAGAGCGCCACGGTAACGGTACAGGGAGTCACGATAAACACTAAGGAATCCATCAAATATCTTGGAGTACATTTAAACCGGAATATGACAATGAGTACCCACATACAAAAGACGGCTGAAAAAGCATGCAAGGCGATAGGAAACCTACAAAGGCTAATGCCTAAAGTAGGGGGACCACGAGAAAATAGCAGGAGGATCCTATTTTACGTTGTACAATCCATCATATTGTACGGAGCCACAATATGGAAAAAAGCCATGAGGAAACAGTTATACAGGGGCATGTTCCTAAAAGTCCAACGTAGAGTAGCAATCAACATAACAAGTGCATACAGAACAGCATCTACAAAAGCCCTGCTGGTAATAGCCAGAACACCTCCATTGGATATACTAGCTGAAGATCGGGAGCTTATACGAAATGGTACGGATAGAACAGTAACAAAACAAGTTATACTGGAAAAATGGCAAGAGAGATGGGAAAAAGACGAAGGGACTGCAGAATGGACCAAAAGACTAATACCAAACTTATACCTCTGGAATGACAGAAATCATGGTGAAGTTGATTTTTATATGACTCAACTTCTGACGGGACATGGAACCTTCCAATCCTACCTGTTTAGATTCAAACTTGCTGATACAGACGAATGCCTATACTGTAGATCAGTCGATACAGTAGAACATACATTTTTTAAATGTGTAAGATGGGAAGATGACCGACAAGCCACTCAAAACAAATTGGGAATAATAACACCGGACAACATAATCAATAAGATCCTACAGAGCAAAGAGAACTGGAATACCATTAAAAACTATTCAGCAAAAATCCTGTCAACAAAAAGAAAAGACATGAATAGAATAAGATAAAATAAATAAAATGGGAAGAACATGCAAAACATCTATCCTCGCCGACCTATTTGAAGTAATGCCTGACGGCAGTCCCAAATAGGTTCCTTACTCAGGCGATGGGGTGGGTTTAGTGGGTATACCGGCCTTGCACCCTTCAGCCGGGAGTCCTACACTACCAGGTACGGGCAGAACCACATGCCTGGTGTCCGTAACGGATTCCCACCCTACCAGAAAAAAAAAAAAAAAAAAAACTACTACTACTACTACTACTACTACTACTACTACTACTACTACTACTACTACTACTACTACTACTACTACTACTACTACTACTACTACTACTACTACTACTACTACTACTACTACTACTACTACTACTACTACTACTACTACTACTACTACTACTACTACTACTACTACTACTACTACTACTACTACTACTACTACTACTACTACTACTACTACTACTACTACTACTACTACTACTACTACTACTACTACTACTACTACTACTACTACTACTACTACTACTACTACTACTACTACTACTACTACTACTACTACTACTACTACTACTACTACTACTACTACTACTACTACTACTACTACTACTACTACTACTACTACTACTACTACTACTACTACTACTACTACTACTACTACTACTACTACTACTACTACTACTACTACTACTACTACTACTACTACTACTACTACTACTACTACTACTACTACTACTACTACTACTACTACTACTACTACTACTACTACTACTACTACTACTACTACTACTACTACTACTACTACTACTACTACTACTACTACTACTACTACTACTACTACTACTACTACTACTACTACTACTACTACTACTACTACTACTACTACTACTACTACTACTACTACTACTACTACTACTACTACTACTACTACTACTACTACTACTACTACTACTACTACTACTACTACTACTACTACTACTACTACTACTACTACTACTACTACTACTACTACTACTACTACTACTACTACTACTACTACTACTACTACTACTACTACTACTACTACTACTACTACTACTACTACTACTACTACTACTACTACTACTACTACTACTACTACTACTACTACTACTACTACTACTACTACTACTACTACTACTACTACTACTACTACTACTACTACTACTACTACTACTACTACTACTACTACTACTACTACTACTACTACTACTACTACTACTACTACTACTACTACTCCAGCGCGTCCCCGGGTGGCGGATTGGGGAATGCTTCTCATATTCTTATATATGAGTGGTACCGATGAAATGAAATAGTCGGCGCGGACCAAAATTAGCAACAAGGAGTAAACCTTGGAAAAAATCTCCCAACACTAAGCTGGAAAGTCGTGGCGAGGGTGTGCGTGGCTCCGGGGAAGAGGAGTCTGGAACGACCCCCACCGTTATGGCGAGAGCGCGTGGGGTAGGCTTTGGCAAGGCCTTATCTGGGCATGCGGGGCTCTGCTCAGACGGACAGTAGTTCCCTAGCTACTCGTGGGACATACATGGAAAAAAATCAAACATTTTTAATTAAACTCGTTGCATCAGGGAGGGACCAGACTGATGTTAATACCTTGACAACTGGAACAAGTAAAAAAGACGACCATCATGCTCTGGGAAAAAAACCGACTGAAGAGCTAGTAAACCCTATTGGAGACAAAATGGAAACCGAGACTGAAAACACTAATGCTGAGGTATTTTACGATCCTAATCAGGATGGAGGAAACAATGGAACCATGGACGGGAAAACAATAGACAGAACAACACAAAATAATGAATCAGGCGTATTTAAGAGAAAAGATTCTATCTTTAGAACCCCTCCCCCTCTTCGTAGGGCGGACTCTCTAAACCTAGAAAACACTAGTCAAGAACCGAAACGAAAACGCGACGATACACCGGAGAAAACAAAAACTGAATTTGAAATATTTATTAAGAAGATGGAAACGGAACGAAACAAACTTACGGATCTTATCAAAAAAGCGACAGAACAAACGCAGCAATTAGCATCGCTGATCACTACTATCCCAAACACAAAAAAGGAAATTAAAAATGCTATCCACAAAGTGGAGTCATACACACAAAAAATGACTGAGAACACTGGCTTTATAGACCAACTTATAGAAGAACTACACGCGCCCTCAAGCAAAAGGACCACCGTCGCTCCTAAGAAAATCATGTGTGAAATGGGCACACAAACGGTCAGTAACCAACAGCTGGAAAAAGAAAGGCGTGTCATGAATATTGAAAAGGCTATGGACCTTGAGATGGATGATGACCGACTTCAAGAGGAACTGGAACTGCAATGGCCAGAAGATGCGTTCAAAAAATGTAAAATTCACAAAGAAGCAATAACCGGAGAGGAAGAAAACCTTTTATTTATTATGAAAGCAGGAGAGACTAAGAATAACCTACTCTTAAGAAAGCTCAAGGAGAGAAACCCCCAGCTCAGAAAATATGTTGAAGAAAATAAATTAAGTGTTGGTAATATGGTCGGAGGAATCGCTAAAAGTGGAATTTTCGGTGACAAAATGGCCGAAAGTGCAGTAGAGCTAATCACGTATATTGCATTAACAGAAGGTCTAAACACAGTCGTAGATCGAATTAAAATGAAAGAAAACCTGGTTAAAATTAAGCAAAGCGCCGATAGAAAGCCGTTGAGCCATATATGGTGTCTTATAGACCAAAACATTTCCTATGGAGTCGCTCGAAATACCCTTGAGTATATAGGAAGAAAGTTAGACATTAGCTTTAAAGTTGTTACGGGTAAAAATAGAGCCCACACAGTCGACGGAGACGAAGAAATTAATTGGGAGCTAGTAAAAAGTAAAAGGGAAAATAACGAGGAAACCATACTAATAAAACCGACAGGAAATGCCTCCTTCGCGGACATACTCAAGGATATGAAAAAAGACATAAAAACCGAAGGGATCACGATAGAAAGGATCAATAAAACAAGCAGCGGGAACCTGCAATTAAAAATAAGAGGAAAGGATGAGAAAGATAGGAAGACATTCACGACTGCACTGAACACAACTCTAAGCAACGTCGCGCAGGTAGACGTAAAAACAAAAGGAAAAACCTTTATGATCCTGGACATAGATGAGACCGTCAGGGAAGAAGATATAAGGCAGGTACTGAAAAGAGAAATGAATAACGACAACTTTGTGGATGAATCCCACATTAAACTAGCTGAGAAAGCCAATAATAAAGGATACAAATATGCTTTTATAACAATGCAGCCGGATGCGGCTGGCTACATAACAAGAAAGAAAAGGATTGGAGAAGGATGGAACCGATGGAGAATAAGAGAGCTGGATCCAGTGGAAAGATGCCGTAAGTGCCATAGGATAGGACATAGAGGAGAACAGTGCAAATATAAGGAAGAAGACAGAAATAACTGCCACAAGTGTGGAGAGGGCGGACACAAAAAAAGGGAATGCACTAACGCAGAGCATTGTTACCTATGCAACACAAACGGACACACGGCGGAAACAATGAGGTGTCCAGAATATAGAAACATAATTAAAACAAATAATGAGGAGAAGAGGGCTAGACTAAATAGCGTCTTTTAGAACACCCTATTAATATGAAGATACTACAAGTCAACGTAGACAGAGGACGGGAGGCAATGGACCTATTATATAAAACGGTAGAGGATAAGAACGTAGACATCATAATATTAGCGGAACCAAATAGGATAAAGGTTATAAAAGGACAGTGGTACACAGAGAGAAACCTAGACGCGGCCATTGGAGTAGTAAATAAGCAAATTAAAATAGAAGATACGGGTAACGGACCCGGTTTTGTATGGGTAGAGCTAGAGAAAATGGTTATATATAGCTGCTATATTTCTCCAAACGTTAATCTGCAAATCTATACAGACTTCCTCAACGGCCTGAGAAAGGACATGAAGAAGCAGAAAAAAGAGATCCTCGTAGGAGGAGACTTCAACGCCAAAGCATTTCTATGGGGCTCTAACAGAGAGGATAAAAAAGGAGAAATGGTAGCAGAATGGTTGGCAGAGGAAAACCTATCTATCCACAATCAGGGAAATATCCCAACTTTTACGAGAAACGAATACGGATCCATAATAGACATTACTTTCAGTAGCGAAAAACTTGGCAGATCCCTGGAAAACTGGAAAGTACTAGAGGAGGAAAACCTCAGCTTACATAGGAATATCACTTACGAGATTAAAGATAATTACAGAAGCCAAGAAAAACCAAATACATGCAAAGGATGGCGGGTAAAAAAGGAAAATATGGGGGCGTTAGTTAAAGAAGTCGGGCGTAAACTCCGTAATACGAACATAACAAGCGTAGAACAGTTAATGAAACATATAACAACAGCATGTCATAAGACGCTCCCAAAGAAAAACTGTAAACCGAACAGGAAGCCAGTGTACTGGTGGTCTGACGCGGTAGCCACGAAAAGAAAGGAATGCAACATCCGAAGAAGAACCATGGTCCGAGCTAACAAAGCTAATAATAACGCCCAAAAAATTATCTGCTTAGAGGCATATAAATACAGTCGAAGAGCATTGAAAAAAGCTATACTAGAAGCCAAAACCGCAGCCTGGAAGCAAGTTATTGAGGAAGTAGAAGAAGACGTCTGGGGCAAAGGGTACCGAATCGTTACCAACAAAGTAAAGTCCAAACCGCCAACTAACCTGACGGGCGAAAAACAAATGCAAATAGCAGCAAAACTATTTCCAACAAACAATGTGACCAAGTGGAACAGACTGAATGTAGAAGGCGAAGAAACCCCCTTATTCTCTCTTGAAGAACTTACTAAAGCAAGCAGGCGAATCAAGAATAGAAAGGCACCTGGGCCCGATGGAGTTCCACCGGAAGTGATTAAGGCAGTGGTCAATGAGTACCCACAAAAGATACTAGATATTTTAAATAGTTCTCTGATTGCAGGAGTTTTCCCCGATACGTGGAAGCAGGCCAGATTGGTATTAATTGAGAAAGACAGCCCAAACTTGGCCGAGAAAGCTTACAGACCAATATGCCTCCTAAATGTCATGGCTAAGCTGTTTGAGCAGATGATAACTGGAAGGCTAAAACAAGAAATAGAGAGAACAGGCAGCCTTGCTCCTGAGCAATATGGTTTCCGAGAGGAACGCTCAACTATCCACGCATTAAAAAGGGTGCAGGAAATAGCGGATGAAGCCAATGAAAGAGTAGGCCGAAAAAGATGTGTCCTAATAACGCTTGACGTAAAAAACGCTTTTAATACCGCCCCTTGGGAAGGTATTTTACAGGAGCTACGCCGAAGGAAGGTCGCGGCATACCTTTATAACTTAATTAGTAGCTATCTAGAAGACCGAATTCTGTATGTCGGAAGTAACAAGCAAATGAGGATGACATGTGGCGTTCCCCAAGGATCCGTGATAGGGCCAACAATGTGGAACCTCTATTATGATGGGGTATTTAAGATCCCGGTACCAAATGGAGTCAAACTTATCGGGTATGCGGATGACCTAGCCATCCTAGTTGTAGAGAAAACGGCGATACAGCTAGAAAATACGGCAAACAGAGTGATAAGGGACGTTTTGGAATGGATGGACCAAAAGAAACTAAAATTAGCGGAACAAAAAACGGAAGCGGTTCTACTGGCAGCAGGTAGAAAAATAAAAAACATAACTGTGCGTGTAAACAACTTAGAAATCACGAGCCAGGAGAACCTAAAATACTTAGGCATCCACTTAGATAGGAACATGTACATGGGCCACCACATAAGAGAAACTGCTAAAAAGGCTAACAAGGCAATTGCCAACCTCGCACGCATCATGCCAAATCTAGGAGGCCCCAAAGAAAGTACAAGACGTATGCTGTTGGCTGTTGTAAACTCAATAGTACTATACGGATCAGTAATATGGCAAAGAGCAATGAAAAAACAAATATACAGGAACATTCTAACTGGAGTACAGAGGAAAACTGCCATCAGGATAGCCAGCGCATACAGGACCACGTCGACAAAGGCACTGCTAGTCATAGCAAGAATCCCTCCAGTTGATCTGCTTGCCGAGGAAAAGGCTATGTTAGACCAAGGATACGACAATAAAGAAGCTAATCGCATAATACTGGATCAATGGCAGCAAAGATGGGAAGAGGATGCTGGAAAAGCAAACTGGACCAAGAGACTCGTACCTGACATTAGACCATGGGTAAACAGGAAACACGGACAGGTAAATTACTACCTTACACAACTCCTAACGGGACATGGATGCTTCAACTTCTACTTCCATCGGTTTAAAATAAAAGAAGAAAACAAATGCATATATTGCGATATTCCGGACACAACCGAGCATACCTTCTTCGAATGCGTAAGATGGACTGAGGAGAGAAAACAAGCGGAATTAAAAATAGGTCGAATTACTCCCGAAAATGTAGTGTTCAAAATGCTAGAGAGCGAACTTACCTGGGGAACAGTGGATAAAATGGTCACAAGAGTGTTGAGCTTAAAACGCCGAGAAATGGAAGCTCAAAGATAAAAAAAAAAAAGGAAAGAAACCGTAACATCAATTGAAACCGCCGACCTATTCGAAGTAATGCCCGACGGCAGTTCCAAATAGGTCCAACCAAGGCGATGGGTGGTTTTAGTGGGTATACCGGCCTTGCACCATTCAGCCGGGAGTCCCACACTATCAGGTATGGGCAGAACCATATGCCTGGTGTCCGTAATGGATTCCCACCCAACCAGAAAAAAAAAAAAAAAAAAAAAAACTACTACTACTACTACTACTACTACTACTACTACTACTACTACTACTACTACTACTACTACTACTACTACTACTACTACTACTACTACTACTACTACTACTACTACTACTACTACTACTACTACTACTACTACTACTACTACTACTACTACTACTACTACTAGGTGTGCGTGGCTCCGGGGAAGAGGAGTCTGGAACGCCCCCCACCGTTATGGCGAGAGCGCGTGGGGTAGGCTTTGGCAAGGCCTTATCTGGGCATGCGGGGCTCTGCTCGGATGGACAGCGGTTCCCTAGCTACTCGTGGGAACAGGATGGAAGATAACGATTTTACACAAACCAGCGGCAAAGAAGAGTTTAATACTGAAACCAGCTACCAGTGGAACGAAGATAGTGACCCATCTGTCAGAAGAAACTCGCTAAGAAGAACACCTACTAGGACACTAAGTATTACTAGTGTTAGCGATGAAGATGACAATACGGCAGGGGAAAAAAGAAAACGAATTGGGACACCAGTAAAAAGCGATGCAGAGAAAAAAGACTTAATCCGAAGGGCGGAAAGCGAATACTTAGTACTAAAGGATATCATTAAAAAGATGACGGAAGAAACGAAAACGCTTAGAACAATGATTACGGAAATACCAAACACAAAAAAGGAAATAAAAAACGCTATAAAGAAAATGGACAATTTAACAAAGAAATTACCAATGGCTACAGACATAGTGGCAGAACTGATGGAGGAGATAAAAACGGAGGAAACCCGGGAAAAAAGAGAGAGGACCGAGACTAACTTACATCATGAAAATAAAGTAGAAACAAAAGAAATAAGCATCCAAACTGACCCTATCCAAGATAGCACAAGAATGCAGGCGGAGACCAAAGAAATTGCCACGCAAACACTATCACAGAAAGAAGAGGAAGAGCAAGAAATTAAGAAGCGAATAGAAAACGAGATTGGCAAGAAATTGACAGAAAACGAATTAAAAGATTTATTCGACCTGCCTTGGCCAGAGGACATATATAGATGTTGTACCCTGAAAAAACCGGAAGCAGACGACAAAGACCTAGAGGATATAGTAATCTTTATGAATAAGGGAGAAGCCGTAGAAAATAAGGTAATAAAGGCAGCCATGGCCAGGAATCCGCAACTGGAAAGGGTAATAAAAGAGGACAAAATAGAAGCAGGCAGAATGTTCTGCAGCGTGACAACCAACGGAATAATAGGGGATGAAAATGAGGTAGAAGATAGTACCAACAGATACATGTATCTGATTGTACTAGAGAATGGTGGTAAGACAAGTGCAGACAGGGAAAATCTAGATGGGAATATAGAGAAAGTGATAAGGCTAATGGAAAAAAATGGGGGTGTAAACACCGTAGCCATTACTAGTGAACAGGTGGAGGAAGAAAATGTCAGGAAAATGCTGGAATACAAGCTCAGAAGAGAGAATAAGAAAATACCTCTGTACGAAAAGAAATCAAAAACATGGTGGAAGGACGCTAAAAGACCGAAAGAACAAAATAGGGATACTTTCATAATAAAACCACACACAGGTACAACTTATGCTGACCTAATAAAAAACATGAAGAGGGAAGTAAATGCTAAACAGATCATGATTGAAAGGATAAACAAAACAGAAAAAGGTGATATATACGTTAAAATCAAGGATAAAGATGAAAAAAATAGGCAAAGGTTTAAAGATGAACTAACCCAGAAGCTAGACAATATCGCTACAGTAAGTGTCAGACAGAGAAACAAAACAGTCATGATGTTAGATATAGACGATACGGTGGAAGAGCAAGAAATACGCGATGCTATACATATGGAACTGACGGAGCTTGGTGAACCGCAAACCGATATCCAGATTAAACTGTCGGAGAAAGCAAATAAATATGGCGTCAGATATGCCTTTATAACGATACAGGAAAACGGGGCCAACTTGTTAATTAGAAGAAATGTCATAGGAGACGGCTGGAATAGATGGAGAATAAGAGAGATCATTAACCCGTCAAAATGTTATAAATGCCATAGGGTAGGTCATAAGGCTAAGGAATGTACAGTGGAAGAAAGGGAAAGTACTTGTCATAAGTGCGGAAAAATGGGGCATCTTAAAAAAGACTGCAAGAACGAGCCACGGTGCTACTTATGCAAAGAAGAAGGACATGTGACTGAAACAACACGCTGCCCGGAATACAGGAAACTGGTAAAGGCGCAAATAGAGGAGAATAGAGGTGTGCGAAACAATATTTATAATTAAAATATTACAGATAAATATTGATAGGGGTAGAGAAGCTACAGACATGGCATACAAAATAGCAGAAGAGGAAAATGTGGATATGATTATCATGGCCGAACCAAATAGAAAGAAAATACTAGACAGTGACTGGATCATTGAAGAAAACTTGGATATAGCAATTAAAGTGCTGGGAGGAATCAGAGTCTTAAATAAAGGAAGAGGTTCCGGTTTTGTCTGGGTCGAAACCAAACAGGCTGTCATCTATGGGTGTTACATCTCGCCAAACATAAACACGACCCGCTTTGAACAGTTCCTACATGATCTAAGATTAGACATGAGAAAACAGAAAAAGGATAAAGAGATACTTGTCGGAGGAGATTTCAATGCCAAAGCCTACAGTTGGGGATCTAGGATAGAGGACAAAAAAGGAAAGAAAATGGCCGAATGGTTGGGAGAAGAAGATTTGGTAGTTCTTAACCAGGGTAATGTACCAACATTCTCAAGAAGAGGAACTGAGTCGTATATTGATGTCACATTTTGCACCAAAAATTTAGCTCCAAAAGTAAAGAACTGGAGAATATTGGAACAGGAGAGTTTAAGTTACCACGCATACATAGTATACGACATATCCGAGGATGATGATAGAAAAAATGGCTTTGAGAACAGACTGGAACGGTGGAGAGTCAGCAAGAAAAACATGCAGAAGATGACGGAGGAAGTCGGAAGACAACTGAAAATAAAAGGTGATATTACTCTACAGGTAGAAGAGCTAAACGAAATAATAAAGGCAGCATGTGACAAAGCGTTTGCAAAAATAAGCATTAGAGGTAAAAGGAAACCCGTATATTGGTGGACGGAAGAAGTAGCAGAAAAGCGTAAAATATGCATACGAGCCCGAAGAAACATGATCAGGGAAAACAAAAAGATCAACAATGCTGAACAGATAACTCGTCGACAGGCGGAATACAAACAAAGTAAAGTTACTCTCAAAAATGCTGTTATGGAGGCAAAAAAGGCGGCTTGGAAAAAAGTAATAGAGGAAGTAGACTCAGATGTCTGGGGTAAGGGATACCAAATAGTCTCTAAAAAGTTAAAAGGTACGCCTCGCATCGCCATGACAGACCAGGAACAGCTTGAGGTTGCAAGAACACTATTCCCAACTCACCAGGTTGCAAAATGGAACAGGATGCCCGTAGAAGTCAACGAAATATCGCTCTTTACGACCAGTGAATTGCTGAAAGCAAATGAAAACATTAAAGATAAGAAAGCCCCTGGACCCGATGGATTCTCACCTGAAATCATTAAAGCGGTAGTTAGTAAATATCCGGACGAACTTTTAAAGGTAATGAACCAAATACTGCTTGAAGGAGAATTTCCCAAAGAATGGAAAACGGCGAAACTGGTCCTTATAGAGAAAGGAAAACCCGGACAAAATAAGGGATATCGCCCTATATGTCTACTGAATGTTCTTGGAAAAATACTTGAAAAACTTATCAGGGAAAGGCTGGATAAAGATGTGGAAAGAAATGGAGGTCTGCACGAGGAGCAATATGGATTCAGGCAAGGCAAGTCTACCATAGATGCTATAGAAAGGGTCCAGGAAATTGCCGATTTTGCAAACGAACGGACGACAAGAAAGAGATGCATGCTGATAACCATCGACATACAGAATGCATTTAATTCTGCGCCTTGGGAAGGAATTCTGAAGGAACTAAGGAAGAGAGAGGTATCTCCGCCTACATATAATTTAATAGCCAGTTATCTAGACAACAGAAAGCTCATGGTAGGAACAAAAGGACAGAAAGACATCACATGTGGCGTTCCGCAAGGGTCAGTCCTCGGCCCAACGTTATGGAATATCTATTATGATGGTATTTTAAATTTGTCTGTCCCTAGAGGCGTAAAATTAATAGCATATGCGGATGATCTAGCTATTGTAATCGTAGCAAAGGATGCTGAACATCTGGAGACCTTGGCAAACAAGACGTTAGAAATAGTAAATCAATGGCTGAAGGACAAAAAACTTAAATTAGCCCCACAAAAAACGGAAGCTGTTCTCCTTGCAGCAGGAAACAAAATCAAAAATATCTCGTTTAATGTAGAAAATGTGACAATGAATTGCCAAGAAAATGTTAAGTAGCTGGGGATCTACTTGAACAGGAACCTGAGTATGGGACACCATATAATGGAAATCGCAAAAAAGGCCGACAAGGCTCTCGGAAACATTAGCCGGATCATGCCTAATGTAGGAGGCCCTAGAGAGGCAAGCAGAAGAATACTGTGCAGCGTGGTGGAATCCATAATGATGTATGGCGCTACTACATGGCAGCGAGCCATTCACAAAAAGGTCTACAGGGATAAGCTCCTTAGTATTCAGAGAAGAACAGCTATAAGAATGGTCAGTGCATACCGGACAACTTCAACAAAAGCCCTACTGGTTATAGCAAGAACACCGCCTATAGATTTACTGGTAGAGGAAAGGAAGCTTATGAGACAAAATGTGGAAAAACGAGATGCTCGCAAACAAATAGTAGACAAATGGCAAGAGGTGTGGGAAGTCAATGATGGAAAAGCAAATTGGACACAGCGGCTAATAAAAGATATAAGGCCATGGATCAACAGAAAGTGGGGAGAGGTCAACTTCTACCTGACCCAGATCCTGTCTGGACACGGAGGATTTCAGGCCTACTTATATCGATTTAAAATTAGCCAGACAAACGAATGCCCATATTGCAAGCTAGAAGATAGTGCTGAACACACGTTCTTCAAGTGTGAAAGATGGATACAGGTTAGAACTGAGACTGTTAATAAAATAGGGGAATTGACACCAGAGAACCTAGTCAATAAAATGCTACAAAAGGAAGAAAACTGGAAGACAATAAATAAGATGGCCATGATAATCATATCCACAAAAATGAAAGAAAGAATACCAGAAGAAAGGTAAAAAACAAGAAAGGCACAAAACAACATCTAGCTCCGCCGACCTATTCGAAGTAATGCCTGACGGCAGTCCCAAATAGGTTCCTTACTCAGGCGATGGGGTGGGTTTAGTGGGTATACCGGCCTTGCACCCTTCAGCCGGGAGTCCTACACTACCAGGTACGGGCAGAACCATATGCCTGGTGTCCGTAACGGATTCCCACCCACCAAAAAAAAAAAAAAAAAAAAAAAAAAAAAAAAAAAAAAAAAAAAACTACTACTACTACTACTACTACTACTACTACTACTACTACTACTACTACTACTACTACTACTACTACTACTACTACTACTACTACTACTACTCTGGTGTGGAGTTGCTAATCTCCCATCCAGCGCGTCCCCGGGTGGCGGATTGGGGAACGCTTCTCATATTATTATATATGGGTGGTACCGATGAAATGAAATAGTCGGCGCGGACCAAAATTAGCAACAAGGAGTAAACCTTGGAAAAAATCTCCCAACACTAAGCTGGAAAAAAAAAAAAAAAAACTACTACTACTACTACTACTACTACTACTACTACTACTACTACTACTACTACTACTACTACTGATTGAAAGGATAAACAAAACAGAAAAAGGTGATATATACGTTAAAATCAAGGATAAAGATGAAAAAAATAGGCAAAGGTTTAAAGATGAACTAACCCAGAAGCTAGACAATATCGCTACAGTAAGTGTCAGACAGAGAAACAAAACAGTCATGATGTTAGATATAGACGATACGGTGGAAGAGCAAGAAATACGCGATGCTATACATATGGAACTGACGGAGCTTGGTGAACCGCAAACCGATATCCAGATTAAACTGTCGGAGAAAGCAAATAAATATGGCGTCAGATATGCCTTTATAACGATACAGGAAAACGGGGCCAACTTGTTAATTAGAAGAAATGTCATAGGAGACGGCTGGAATAGATGGAGAATAAGAGAGATCATTAACCCGTCAAAATGTTATAAATGCCATAGGGTAGGTCATAAGGCTAAGGAATGTACAGTGGAAGAAAGGGAAAGTACTTGTCATAAGTGCGGAAAAATGGGGCATCTTAAAAAAGACTGCAAGAACGAGCCACGGTGCTACTTATGCAAAGAAGAAGGACATGTGACTGAAACAACACGCTGCCCGGAATACAGGAAACTGGTAAAGGCGCAAATAGAGGAGAATAGAGGTGTGCGAAACAATATTTATAATTAAAATATTACAGATAAATATTGATAGGGGCAGAGAAGCTACAGACATGGCATACAAAATAGCAGAAGAGGAAAATGTGGATATGATTATCATGGCCGAACCAAATAGAAAGAAAATACTAGACAGTGACTGGATCATTGAAGAAAACTTGGATATAGCAATTAAAGTGCTGGGAGGAATCAGAGTCTTAAATAAAGGAAGAGGTTCCGGTTTTGTCTGGGTCGAAACCAAACAGGCTGTCATCTATGGGTGTTACATCTCGCCAAACATAAACACGACCCGCTTTGAACAGTTCCTACATGATCTAAGATTAGACATGAGAAAACAGAAAAAGGATAAAGAGATACTTGTCGGAGGAGATTTCAATGCCAAAGCCTACAGTTGGGGATCTAGGATAGAGGACAAAAAAGGAAAGAAAATGGCCGAATGGTTGGGAGAAGAAGATTTGGTAGTTCTTAACCAGGGTAATGTACCAACATTCTCAAGAAGAGGAACTGAGTCGTATATTGATGTCACATTCTGCACCAAAAATTTATCTCCAAAAGTAAAGAACTGGAGAATTTTGGAACAGGAGAGTTTAAGTTACCACGCATATATAGTATACGACATATCCGAGGATGATGACAGAAAAAATGGCTTTGAGAACAGACTGGAACGGTGGAGAGTCAGCAAGAAAAACATGCAGAAGATGACGGAGGAAGTCGGAAGACAACTGAAAATGAAAGGTGATATTACTCTACAGGTAGAAGAGCTAAACGAAATAATAAAGGCAGCATGTGACAAAGCGTTTGCAAAAATAAGCATTAGAGGTAAAAGGAAACCCGTATATTGGTGGACGGAAGAAGTAGCAGAAAAGCGTAAAATATGCATACGAGCCCGAAGAAACATGATCAGGGAAAACAAAAAGATCAACAATGCTGAACAGATAACTTGTCGACAGGCGGAATACAAACAAAGTAAAGTTACTCTCAAAAAAGCTGTTATGGAGGCAAAAAAAGCGGCTTGGAAAAAAGTAATAGAGGAAGTAGACTCAGATGTCTGGGGTAAGGGATACCAAATAGTCTCTAAAAAGTTAAAAGGTACGCCTCGCATCGCCATGACAGACCAGGAACAGCTTGAGGTTGCAAGAACACTATTCCCAACTCACCAGGTTGCAAAATGGAAGAGGATGCCCGTAGAAGTCAACGAAATATCGCTCTTTACGACCAGTGAATTGCTGAAAGCAAATGAAAACATTAAAGACAAGAAAGCCCCTGGACCCGATGGATTCTCACCTGAGATCATAAAAGCGGTAGTTAGTAAATATCCGGACGAACTTTTAAAGGTAATGAACCAAATACTGCTTGAAGGAGAATTTCCCAAAGAATGGAAAACGGCGAAACTGGTCCTTATAGAGAAAGGAAAACCCGGACAAAATAAGGGATATCGCCCTATATGTCTACTGAATGTTCTTGGAAAAATACTTGAAAAACTTATCAGGGAAAGGCTGGATAAAGATGTGGAAAGAAATGGAGGTCTGCACGAGGAGCAATATGGATTCAGGCAAGGCAAGTCTACCATAGATGCTATAGAAAGGGTCCAGGAAATTGCCGATTTTGCAAACGAACGGACGACAAGAAAGAGATGCATGCTGATAACCATCGACATACAGAATGCATTTAATTCTGCGCCTTGGGAAGGAATTCTGAAGGAACTAAGGAAGAGAGAGGTATCTCCGCCTATATATAATTTAATAGCCAGTTATCTAGACAACAGAAAGCTCATGGTAGGAACAAAAGGGCAGAAAGATATTACATGTGGCGTTCCACAAGGGTCAGTCCTCGGCCCAACGTTATGGAATATCTACTATGATAGTATTTTAAATTTGTCTGTCCCTAGAGGCGTAAAACTAATAGCATATGCGGATGATATAGCTATTGTAATCGTAGCAAAGGATGCTGAACATCTGGAGACCTTGGCAAACGAGACGTTAGAAATAGTAAATCAATGGCTGAAGGACAAAAAACTTAAATTAGCCCCACAAAAAACGGAAGCTGTTCTCCTTGCAGCAGGAAACAAAATCAAAAATATCTCGTTTACTGTAGAAAATGTGACAATAAATTGCCAAGAAAATGTTAAGTACCTGGGGATCTACTTGAACAGGAACCTGAGTATGGGACACCATATAATGGAAATCGCAAAAAAGGCCGACAAGGCTCTCGGAAACATTAGCCGGATCATGCCTAATGTAGGAGGCCCTAGAGAGGCAAGCAGAAGAATACTGTGCAGCGTGGTGGAATCCATAATGATGTATGGCGCTACTACATGGCAGCGAGCCATTCACAAAAAGGTCTACAGGGATAAGCTCCTTAGTATTCAGAGAAGAACAGCTATAAGAATGGTCAGTGCATACCGGACAACTTCAACAAAAGCCCTACTGGTTATAGCAAGAACACCGCCTATAGATTTACTGGTAGAGGAAAGGAAGCTTATGAGACAAAATGTGGAAAAACGAGATGCTCGCAAACAAATAGTAGACAAATGGCAAGAGGTGTGGGAAGTCAATGATGGAAAAGCAAATTGGACACAGCGGCTTATAAAAGATATAAGGCCATGGATCAACAGAAAGTGGGGAGAGGTCAACTTCTACCTGACCCAGATCCTGTCTGGACACGGAGGATTTCAGGCCTACTTATATCGATTTAAAATTAGCCAGACAAACGAATGCCCATATTGCAAGCTAGAAGATAGTGCTGAACACACGTTCTTCAAGTGTGAAAGATGGATACAGGTTAGAACTGAGACTATAAATAAAATAGGGGAATTGACACCAGAGAACCTAGTCGATAAAATGCTGCAAGAGGAAGAAAACTGGAAGACAATAAATAAGATGGCCATGATAATCATATCCACAAAAATGAAAGAAAGAATACCAGAAGAAAGGTAAAAAACAAGAAAGGAACAAAACAACATCTAGCTCCGCCGACCTATTTGAAGTAATGCCTGACGGCAGTCCCAAATAGGTTCCTTACTCAGGCGATGGGGTGGGTTTAGTGGGTATACCGGCCTTGCACCCTTCAGCCGGGAGTCCTACACTACCAGGTACGGGCAGAACCATATGCCTGGTGTCCGTAACGGATTCCCACCCACCAAAAAAAAAAAAAAAAAAAAAAAACTACTACTACTACTACTACTACTACTACTACTACTACTACTACTACTACTACTACTACTACTACTACTCGGATGATCTAGCTATTGTGATCGTAGCAAAGGATGCTGAACATCTGGAGACCCTGGCAAACGAGACACTAGAAATAGTTAGTCGATGGCTGAAGGATAAAAAACTTAAATTAGCCCCACAAAAAACGGAAGCTGTTCTCCTTGCAGCAGGAAACAAAATCAAAAATATCTCGTTTACTGTAGAAAATGTGACAATGAATTGCGAAGAAAATGTTAAGTACCTGGGGATCTACTTGAACAGGAACCTGAGTATGGGACACCATATAATGGAAATCGCAAAAAAGGCCGACAAGGCTCTCGGAAACATTAGCCGGATCATGCCTAATGTAGGAGGCCCTAGAGAGGCAAGCAGAAGAATACTGTGCAGCGTGGTGGAATCCATAATGATGTATGGCGCTACTACATGGCAGCGAGCCATTCACAAAAAGGTCTACAGGGATAAGCTCCTTAGTATTCAGAGAAGAACAGCTATAAGAATGGTCAGTGCATACCGGACAACTTCAACAAAAGCCCTACTGGTTATAGCAAGAACACCGCCTATAGATTTACTGGTAGAGGAAAGGAAGCTTATGAGACAAAATGTGGAAAAACGAGATGCTCGCAAACAAATAGTAGACAAATGGCAAGAGGTGTGGGAAGTCAATGATGGAAAAGCAAATTGGACACAGCGGCTAATAAAAGATATAAGGCCATGGATCAACAGAAAGTGGGGAGAGGTCAACTTCTACCTGACCCAGATCCTGTCTGGACACGGAGGATTTCAGGCCTACTTATATCGATTTAAAATTAGCCAGACAAACGAATGCCCATATTGCAAGCTAGAAGATAGTGCTGAACACACGTTCTTCAAGTGTGAAAGATGGATACAGGTTAGAACTGAGACTATAAATAAAATAGGGGAATTGACACCAGAGAACCTAGTCGATAAAATGCTGCAAGAGGAAGAAAACTGGAAGCAAATAAATAAGATGGCCATGATAATCATATCCACAAAAATGAAAGAAAGAATACCAGAAGAAAGGTAAAAAACAAGAAAGGAACAAAACAACATCTAGCTCCGCCGACCTATTTGAAGTAATGCCTGACGGCAGTCCCAAATAGGTTCCTTACTCAGGCGATGGGGTGGGTTTAGTGGGTATACCGGCCTTGCACCCTTCAGCCGGGAGTCCTACAATACCAGGTACGGGCAGAACCATATGCCTGGTGTCCGTAACGGATTCCCACCCACCAAAAAAAAAAAAAAAAAAAACTACTACTACTACTACTACTACTACTACTACTACTACTACTACTACTACTACTACTACTACTTATACTACTACTACTACTACTACTACTACTACTACTACTACTACTACTACTACTACTACTACTACTACTACTATCACTACCTGGGAGTATTTATTTCTCTCACTGATGTATAATGGTTTCAAATAACAATCATAGCGAACCTGGCTAAGACGTTTTCATAAGAGTATATAAAGAATACTCAGAACATGGTGGAGTTTTAAAAGAAATTTATTATAAGAAGTTGCAATGTTATGTTTGTTGTGTCAGACTTTAATAAAGATCTGATAGAGCGATTTCTTGTAGTGTCTAAATTGTTATTTAGAGACGATTGCAAGAATATTTTATAAGATGTAGCACACTTAAACCAGAGTTTTATAAATTAGTTTTAAATTTATTCTTAAAACTAAAGAATAAGACTTTTTTTTGTATTTAAGACAATCTTATTTATAACTACAATAAATGAGCATCAAAGTTTGGTTAGTGGGTTTCGTATTGTTGTTATCTTCGTTTTATTTTTGAGAACTGATTATTTATTTATTTATTAATTGGACTTTTATTTCATAGAGAAATATAATATTAAATAATTCATTCGACACTTAAAAAAGGAGTCGTGACAATAAGGTTTAAAAAACCTGCTCCACACAGGTCCTACCCGTAGGTACACATCTACCTTACGAAATTAATCATTAATAGGAATTAAATATTATATTAGGTACTTATAACAGTTTATGAATAAACGTTTTGTTTTATTGCAGATTCACATACAAACCACAAATAATTTCATCAATATGTTACGTAGACAAGGTTTGCCTCCTCTAGCAAGTATTCCTTACCTATTACAAATAAAAAAGGAATAAACGATGCCCTTATAAATTTTCTTAAAGGAGCAAAAATACGCATTTAATTGAAAATTTCTTTTTACTATTAACAATGCCTGTGGCAAAAGATTAAAATCAATGCCATCCACTCTCTCTTTCCACACTCGCACATGCTTGCTCAAAAACAAGCCCGCTTATTTTTTGCTTAAAATGAATTTCTCTGTGATTCGCCAAAAATATCTGCAACTTTATATTTTTAAATCGATATAAATTTGTGTTTGTAAAAATTAATTTATTAACGCAAATTTTCTACTAATTTTATTTTTTAAATATACAAAATTAAGATTGATTCAAGTTTAAAAATATACATTTTCTCATAAAAACTTACTAGAAAACTTCCGATTATAAATTAAAATGTGTAAACTCATAATAAATTTTCCATACACAAATTAGTTTTAGTTGCAAGCCGGAAGCCGAAATTACACAGAAAAAAATTTGTTAAGAACGGTTTCAAGAATCCATGGATTATATTAAGCATGTTCCAAAAATATTGAATGGAACATGTAATTTTAAACTCATAAGCATGACTGTTATTAGGCGGTTTTATTTTTGCGCTTTTTACTGATCCAGATCCTAAGTGTTGTTGTTTTTTCTTCCTTTTCATTGAAGTTCTTTTGGTGTTTTTGTATTTCTATAGCCTCAAAGTGCAATATGGTCGAGTAATGTCTTAATGTTGCTAGTAGGTCTGTGTTTTCGAAAAGGATCTTGTGTTCCCCGTCGGATAATGTGTGTTTGGCAACTGCAGACTTTTCGGTTTGTCCTAAACGACAACTTCTTTTGTGTTCTTTTAGTCGTGTACCATTGCTTCTATTTATGTTTATAGCACTTTTATCCTTGATGAACTGGATGTTTGACCAAAATCTGAGGCAAGTGAAATGCCGAGAGATATTTTCTACCATGTGGTGTTGGGTTCTGGTAGCAGAAAACACCCTCAAAAGAGGTAAGTCTTTTTCTTTGCCTGGCAAAACACTTATAGGGTTTTTCCGGTGGATGAACAAGAGAGTCACATCAGCTGTGGGTGGTTATTCGCTTAACATAGGGCTCTTTCTAGTCCCACTGTCAGACCTAGGTTTTTTTTTATATTTATTATGTTTTCTTTAATTTGAGCAATATATTCGCAATGTCTATTTAGACACTTGTATTTTGAAACGGGTATTTTATTATTTTCTGTATGATTTAGTTGTAAGAATACATTTTGTTTCTTTTATTTACAACCAGTTTGTAAATATTATTTTGAGTACTCAAAACAATATACTTTTTTTATTGATTATAAATTTAACTGTTTAAAAATGAATTGAGTATTTTTAATTATATTGTTTCTACCGTTTATGAATTTAAATGTTGATAATTGGATTGGGAAAATACTTCCAATTTTATTACTTTTAGAGTTTGATTCATCAAATGAATTGGGTAAATATTGTTAATATATCATTATTTCTCTTTTGAGCAAAGAACGTTTGTGTAATTTAATGCTCATCGAACAAATTGAGAAAATACTGTTAATATATCACTTTTATTTGGTTTTCTATTAAATTCAATTAAAATTGGGCATAACTTTCATTTTACAGAATATCATGATCATCTCTACAAGTGTGTATTTGCAGGTTCATATATTTATGGTATATGATTATTAAATTACTTTTAGTTTCTGAAAACTTTTTTATCAAATAACACCAAATTTTTAATCTATAAAAAATTCAGTGGCGCCCATATATAGTTTAAATACTCTTTTTTTGTATTTCATTTTAGTGTATCTAATGTCAACTTAAAATATTTAAATTTCAAGATAATAAATCCTTGCTCACACCTTTATGCCACCGACGCCGACGGTAAGCTGCTGTGCTGTACGTATATAACCTAAACTCTTGGTCAAAAGAAAAAATAGGTTACAATACTTAATAATTCTGCTAGTTCTTTACTTCGACCCCAATATTGTGTGCCATGTTAATAATTAGACGTTTATAGTTTTATTTTGAAATGTATATAATATTTTTTACTTAAATATATATTTGCATTTAAAAGATTATTTAATATGTTCTACCAGAGATAATTATTATTATTCTAGGATTTATTTAAAAATTTAATAATTTATTTATTGTATTTAAATAAAGTTTTTTAAATTTTTTACTGGTCGTGACATTATTATGAATTATGGAAATGATTAAAAAAACTAGACGTTTAAAATATTACCAAAACATCATTGTCACCTGCGTTAAGTAATCCCAATGATTGGAAACATTTTTTTGTTAATGATTCCAGGAATGATCGTAAACCAGACACAAATATTATAAAATACTACAAAAATAATGTAATACCAACTATGCAATATACTTTTATTTACCCATACTACACAGGAAGAATTTTTCCATATATTTAAAAATATTAAAACAAAAGCGGTTGGTTTTGATCAAATAAATATTGAAATTTTATTACTCTGTTGTTCATTTATTGTACCTTACTTAACCTATATTATTAATAACTGCATTAATAGTAATTTTTTTCTACTGTATGGAAACATATGCTTTTGTGATGGCTATTCCTAAAAATACGCATCCTACTCAATTTTCGAATCTAAGAAGCATTAGTATTCTTCCCACAATGTCTAAATTATTTGTAAAGATTTTAGAAAAACGCATTTTTTTTATGTCAACAAATTTAATATATTGCCCTTAAACCTATCAGGGTCTAGAAGCCGATACAGTTGCACAACGGCACTTAATTCTGTAACAGATGACATAGTACAATCATTAGATAATAATGATACATGTATTCTAGTACTAATTGACTACTCATTCGATACCTTAAATCATGAGATAATGTTCTCTATATTTCACTACATTGGTTTGCGTGAAAATTCATGCTCTATCTTACAAATAGAGTGCAGCAAGTAACTGTTGAGGACAAATTATCTGATGAAATTGACATTCAGCAGGGTGTGACCCAAGGAAGCATATTAGATCCGCTGTTTTCTACTTTGTACACACTTCGTATTTTCACAACTATGTAAGACACTGTAAATATCATCTGTACGTAGACGACACCCAAATTTAATATTCATTTAAAACTTCCAGTATTTGCGAGGTCGTCAACAATATTAATACTGATCTAGCCACAATTGTGTCACTTTTGGACAAGCACCATCTTAAAATTAATCCAAAAAAATCAAATGTCATCTTATTTTGCAATGATCTTCAAACGTCAACTGTTTTGCCTAATCTAAAAATTGAACTTAATCAAACTTTAGAAGTTCAAGAATATTGTAAGTATTTGGGTTTAATCATAGACTTCGATTTAATAAACATATTACGGATAAAATGAAAAGGGCTTATTATTCTTTAAAATTAATTTATCCTCATAGATCGGAATTGAATATTGAAACTAAAAAACTACTGACAGAGTCTTTAGTTCTGTTCCATTTTATCTACTGTGATACGGTCTATGGCCCCTTTCTGCACAGAGTTAATGTAAATAGGGTACAAAAAGTACAATACAGTTGCCTTAGATTAATATTTGGTATTACACGTAGAAACATAATATCTCACAAGCTCAAACAAGTAAAATGGTTAAGTATGTTTAATAGACGGAAACTTCATGCCTTATGTTTATGTTATAAAATAGTGAAAACAAAATTAGATTTAGAACTGATGTACACAATTTATATTTAACAAGGAACCATTATATTACTACACCATCCCATAATAATAAATTTTTTAAAAGTTCATTCTCTTACCAAGTTGTTTCTGTCAGTCATCTACTCAATATACCTCACTTTAATTTATCTTCTAATGCATTTAAAAACAAACACAGGAAACAGCTTTTTAATAATCAATAATAATTTTGTGACTGCTATTAAACAGCTCTTCTATGGGGATATTATTACTAATTTAAAATTTATTACATAGATCTGTATTTCTGTATTTCTTTGTATTATTCTACACTGAGTATTTATTTGTATGTTAATGTTCTTATATTTTTTTCTCTGCATTTTGTTACTGTACCATATATGTGAGAATTTTAAACTTTTTTTATACATAATATATAAGTAGACATATTTTGTTTTTAATTAAGCTTAGAATAATTTAATGAAGGGTGGTGTGGAAGCATCGGTCGTCAAAGTTGGGCGTTTAAACTAAGATCAATGTTTTGACATTTACATAATATAAGTATACTTCACAATTTTTGTATTTTTGTTGTTCGAAGTAATTGGTGAAGACGATGGTGAATATTGTTGCATATTAATGTACCATGTACACAAAAGAATATGCAAGATATATCTAACAGAATAATTAACGAAATAGAATGAGAATTTGAAAATCTGATTTATAGATAATAAAATTTATAATAAGATAGATTTTGTATTCTAGAAATAATGCGTTAACTCCTAGAGTCATGGTTCTGTTAACTAAACGATTTTTTGTATCGTAATCTTTTTTAATTACCACCAAATACTTCTATAAAGTACATAAGGGTATAGTAAGCAAAATTTGCCAATATTTCTTCTTGTTTGCTCGAAAAATTGGCGGTCCGTTAATTTTTTTTTCCTTTTTGTACAATTTTTCATCTTCACTTTTAATGAATATATTTTTAAAAACGTCAAACTGTCATAGAGCATTCAGTTTTGTCAGAAGTACCTCAATTCAGAAGTACCAATATAAATTAAACTTGGATCATCTGAAATGTGATATTGACATAATTTAAATACACAATTGATGTTAATCTTAGTTCTATATATTTGATCCAAGTTCAGGTGAACGAACGTTTAAACTGTTATTGAAAAACTGGCCCTTAATGATCTAACATCATACTTAATATTTGCCGATTGTTGTTGTAGTAATGTAAACTTTATTATTGTATTACATATTTTTTATACTGGCAAATAAAAATTAATATTATTATTATTTTGATTCAAATATAAGAATGTTATAATTTTAGGAACTCGAGATATGAAAAAAATTCGTCTTCTTAACTCAAAAACAAAC